CCCCAAAACCCCAAAACCCCAAAACCCCAAAACCCCAAAACCCCAAAACCCCAACCTTAAAAATTAAACTGAACTTAATATAATTATTATGGGAAATAGTGCATGATGTGCGGATAGGAAGGACTACGACCAAAAAGAGGAGGACAAGATGAGCAAAAGATGCTCACAGAATAAGAATTTTATAAGTGATACTAACTGTGCGTGTAAATGTGAGAAATTGAACCAGAATGAGAGGGAAGGGAAACTGAATGAGTGGTATTATGCTTCTTTATGATTTAGTACAAAGGTTACTACTGGTGATAGGACCCCTTCTTCAAAGGTAAGATTGGAGATGGGAAAGAGCGGAATGGGAAGATTTAGTTATCGTTATAGTCAGATTTATGACTTTTGAAAGAATTGGGCTGATATTTGGGGGATTTAGATATAATTTCGTGGCTATGAGGGAAGGGATTTGGTTAAACTAAGGCAATTATTTCTTAGGACTCGATTATAATTTTTCTAGCTAAGATTACATATTCAAATTTCTCGAGAAAAGCCTTTATATTATAACATCTGCACTTATGATTTAAATTTTCTAGCATATACTCTCATTTTAACTTGCATTAAAGTTATAATTTTTGGAATGAAATTCCATTATTGGGTTTAGAATACACCTCACAGAAACCCAATTATCCCCTATTTCGAGATCAGTAACGATTCAGAAGATAGCCCAGAAATTGATTCGCCAATGAGTAAACTCTTATTAAGCACTTGGTGTGATTTTTAACCTAACTTTTATATTTAGAAGCTAAAAATTTGACCCTAAATCCAAGAAATAAAGAGCTACTATTAAAAAAGAAAATTAGCGCTACTCGTCTAATGGCTTCAGAGTAAGTAAAGTCAACAAAAATGGCATCTTTTCTTTGTTAGTATTTCCTCTGACGCACCAGTAGAAACTAAATATTATTTTTTTATCAATTTTATAAGGCTCAAGCATAAAAAATAGCTTCTTCGGCTACTTAGAATAACAATCCTATCGAATTTCCTGATTAAAATAAAGAGCATTAGTCTTCTGTGAAGGATTATCTGCAAATATTATATTAGTGATAAACCGTCCGACATATGACAGGTTCATTCTTGTACTTAATTGTATTTAATAGATGCCAAATTTCTAAGTTATTTTAATAGGACTGGCTTTGCTTTAAATACATATTAATCTTATAAATAGAGTCTCTTCACATAAATAACAGAATGAAACGCAAAAAGAACAAGCCAAGCGTCTCAAAACAAAGAAGGAGTTATCAAAAGAGTAAAGAAGCAATCAGCTTCGAAAACAGTATTATTAGACAGTACTCAAAACATGGAGTAACATTGTCGCCTGATGTTATAGGGAATTGCCACTAAAAATAATTCAAAACAAAGGAAATCTTTATTTTTGGATTAGACTGAATGCATTAAATGTCTTGTCATATTGAGATAAATAGTAAACCTATCATTTCAATTAATTCCACTCCCTCCGGGGTTTTGGGGTTTTGGGGTTTTGGGGTTTTGGGG